GTATTGTAGAATACAGTGAAATGACTATAAATCTGGAAGACATATAACATTTCACAATATTGATTCAAGTACTAGCCAGAAGAAGTGGCAGTGATGATAAATACTGTGAACAGTTAGACTTAATTCTTTGTTAGCAGAAGCACTTGATTCCAAATAACTTTATATTGGCTGCATTCACTAACAAATTATACTCTTGACTGTTTCAGAATATTTTATACATATATAAAGTACAAGCTGAATACAAGTCCTTTTTGTCATTAGGAAATGACATACTTGACTCTTGAAGAAAAGCCTAGTCTTTATGCTGGGACACTTATTCCCCCTACCTTCCAGACTTCCCCACTCAGCTCTGTTGTTCTCCAAGCAAAGATATCTACTATCATAGGCTGGTCCTAACCTGACTTCATCCTGTGCCGGATCCTTAAATTCTCGGGGCRTCTTAGGAGTTTGGGTGAAGAAACCTGTTGTTCATAATGCAATTATGAAGGGCTGCATTTCATACTGACTCACAAGCAGAGAAGATTTATGATGTACTTTGGAGATGTTACTTCCATGCGTAATTTGGAAATCTGAAGAAAAATTAGCAGCCTTCTGTCCCCTTCCTCCTGAAGCAAAGAAATTTGACAGCTGTGAATGAAACAGACTGAAGCTGTTTGGGAGATGGATGTTTAAGCTGTACAGCTTTGATGGGATTGTTTAATAAGTATTCTCTCTTTTTCTTTCATTACATGAGGTTTTGCTTTTCTTGGATCCCACAGATCCTTGTAAAAATGTAACAAGCTACTATTCTGAATATGCCAAACAAGAAACAGATGGATCTCTTTAAAGAATAGTCTATCAGCAATATTAATGGGATCTCATGTTGAGGAACCAGGCACCTCCCTTTCCTTCCACCAGCCTTCTTGACATGAACAAAGAGGCTCTTCTAACAATGACTTGCACGTGGCAAAGGAGAAGAAGGAGGTTTTAACAGCTACAATATAAAACATGACATCTTTTTTCTTCTCAGGATTTATTTTTAATGTGCTGTACCCTTGGCTGTTATGCACAATGATCCCCGTGGTGGACTGATTTCAACACAAGGCTTGACCCTGTTGTCATTGTCTCTCTCACGCCACAATTCAAGTGGTGTAGTGCAGATCCTGTGACCTAAATGTCATCCTTCCCAGTGAACACCATGTAGGGCTGTATTCAACTAAGCAAGAGCCCTTCAAATAGAAAAAATTGTTGTTGTAGCAAACAGTAGGATGTACCTAATACTCCTTAGATATTAATTTATGCATTTGAGATTAGAACTCCAGGTTTTGCGTGATCTTTTTACTTTAGCAGACGTGGCCCTGTACTCTCCTGATTTCTTCTTTCTCAAGAAAGAAAGCTCAGTGGTATCAGTGGTTGAATGCCTCTTCTCACTACATATAAGAGATATATTTCTGTGCTATGAGCTATCAAAACTTGATTTACCTGCTGTGCTGAAAACCAGAATAGCAGCTTCAGATATAAATAYGCTTATTAGACCCCCATGATACACTTGGTGGGTCAATCCCTGGGTTGTCTGTGAGACAGCCAGGTGGATAAAGGCAAGTGTGACACAGATTCAGTGATTGCTGTAGCCACCCCAACTGTTAAATAGGTGTCATGGGCAAGACATAAGAGTCACACAAAAGATGCACTTCAGAAAAATCAAATAATAAAGCTGAGATGTTTCCTTATGCTGTTATTTTCTTTTATTTGGGCTATTTCCAAGATTGGGCGGATGGGCTGTACAGCACTTGTTTGTTGATGAAATGATAACTTAACCTAGATAAAGCACATACATACTGTTATTTTAAAAAAAGAAACAAGGCTCACATTGAAAAGGGAAATTTAATACAGTAAACATCCTTTTGTACTGGCCTAGTTATTTTTCTAAACTTGTGCCAGGCTGAGGTATTAGCCTTCCAAAGCAGAATATTTGCAAGAGTCTGCAARTCCTATAATACCTTTCCCAGTAGATGTTGAGTAAGCCAAAGGTCTGTGGTCAAGTGGGCATCTCGGTTACACCTCTTTATTGAACGTCTAATGCATTAATCTTTAAGGCCTTTCTCCTCCYAAGCACAATTGTTGAGCAATCAGATTTCTATTTCATCCTAGTTCCAGATGAAACACCAGAAAGCGAATCCAGTCTTCAGCTGGTGATGTCCAAGAGTGTTGGATGTCCACGATGTTTTTTGGTTTAAACTGTTCAAAGTTTAGATAATTTTTTTTTAAATTTAAAACAACCTGAAAACAAAGGGGAAAATGTTTTTAAAATTTAAACCTATTTTCCTTTGAACACTGATTTTTTTTCGTAAGTCATTGGAGTCTTTTTAGGATGTCCTATTCAGAATTAATCACCTATGTGTGCATCTCATCTTTAATGCATTTTAGAATAGTTTTAAAATAAATTCATCCAGTCTTGTTCTGTAGACATTATCGCCACTTCTCTCTCTCTTTGTTGTAAACWGTGTGGAGATCTGAACGGAGGGAGATGTGAGTGCCACCACCCACGGTACTGGAACAGATGTCACGTCACTGGTCTGGGGTGCTCYGACTCGGTGACAGCTCCCATCCGTGATTTGGTTTGTAGAATTTCTGTGTTAAAATGAAAACGCTCACCTTGCTACCTTGTGACCTGTCAGAGGACTTCAGATGAAAATACCTATTTTAGAGACATTAGATTAGATTAAGGAGTGAGAACTGGTGTAAATAGAAATCATATTTTCTTCATAAAATGGTCTGTGTTCAGGATCAGTCTGATGTGAGGCAACATTTAACCTGATGCCACCATCTGTAGTCAGATCTTCTGCAAYATCAACCATTACAACCTACTCCAGGTTTTCTGTGCTATTGTCTCCATAATTCCTGGGATCCTTCCAGGTGTCTTAGATGATATTCATCAGGGACATTAAGGTGGGCTCTCTGTAGGAGAAATAATGTTTCCTTTCTTTGTACCTGGAGCAAATGAAGGAAACCCAGGAGCTGCTTTGGAGCTCAGCTGTGGTAATGGTGGGCTGAAGGAAGCTTTGATGTCAGTATGGTCGAGGGCAGAAGCATTTGTCATACCTTGAACGGAAGAAAAAGGCACACAGGGAATATTTCCTGGGTGTTCTGGATTTGGTATTGTTTTTCCATAACACCAAGTGTCCTGGTAGCACAAGCTAACTCTCATTTACAAAACTTCCTAGAAAGGTTCAAAATGGTTTGTCTCTACAGAAGATGAAGATTGCTTAGAAAACTGAGCTCCTGCCTGGTGGGAGGTTTGAGGTTTTTGAGTATATGTAGTTTATTTTTGTCTTGAATTAGAACTGAGTCAAAAGTGTTTGCAGAAAAAAAATTGAAATGTTTCTCTTTGATACTATCAGATCAAATACAAGAAAACAAAAATCCTCTCCTTTCATAGACAAAATGCTRAATATTTGGTTATGACAATATTAATGACCTTTGAAAATGCATGAAAAATCCAGGGCAGTGTCAACATTGGTATTAATGGTGGATAAGTTTGTTTAAATAGCATTTAAGGCAGCTTATTCATGAAACACAATCTTTTGGATGTTTAGAAATGTCTTATTATATTATTATGCTTAGAGCTTATAGTTATTACACTTAGAGCTGACCTGCTGCTCATTTAGCTGGAATTGGAAAGTTGTTCTTGCAGTCCACTGTATTTGCTTTGAAGGAAGAAAGGCTGGCAAAAACTGGCACTGCCAATAACTTAGTTTCCAGTGAGGAGATGCCAATGTTCAGGTAAATATCCAAAGCATTAGTGCTCCTTCATTAGAGTGGTATCACRATGACATGTTGCACTGTATTTGAATTGTATCCAAAAGAATCCTCATTTAGTGTCTCTGAACAATGCTGGTACATATTTTGCAAAGAACAATACTGGCCATGCTTGCTCATGGGATAGTCATTAGTAGTTTGATTAACATTGTTCTGAAATACGATTTTTCAGCCAAAACCTAAGAGTCTTCCCCTCAATCCCCCTCTGTGAAAACTATTCTGAAACTCTGTAAGGCACAATGAGGTTTTACAAGCATTTGGTGAGCAAACTTCTGTTTCTGTACAAGGGGAAATATGCAAAGCAGTGAGCAACCTCATTCCTTACTAAGTTCAAGAAGAAGCACCAGAGTTTAAAGTCTTTAATACCTCTTTCTAAGAACTTGYAATTAAGAATTACTAACAAAACCTTATAAAAATGCTCCCTGAGTGTGTATTTTTTAACAAAAGACACTATGCCATATTGAGTTACAAAAGCCCAGGTGATTCCATGGGTCCATCTCCCAAGCTGAAGAGGCTTGGRAGCTGCAGCAAGGGCTTGGTACTGAGTCATGTGTGAATCTGTGCTTTAGTCATGCCTGGTGGAAGAAATGCACTTTTGCTTTGTGAGTTTGGGGTTAATTAATGTGAGCGATTGCCTCTGTAGCCCAATTTTTTGGGTCCATTGTCAGCGAAAGAGGTAAACCATAAAGCAAACATATTAAAGTCTTCTGCAGATTGTGCAGCACATTAGGATTGAAACTTCCCTTCTTTTAGTTTCTTACAGTGGTCCTAACCATCATCAACAGGATTTGACCTGACAATTACAGGATAGTTCTTACCATTTCTGTAATACTTGTGCATTTCTTCAGAAAATTAATCTTCCTGCAATGGTGGATACCAACATAGGTATGGATCTATTAYAGTCCGAATTTTTAATCATGGCAGGTAAAGAAGAATAGGAAAGGCATAAAAAAATTTAGCTTTGCTTCTGTGTTTCAAGGCTGGAACAAATACAGAGAATTTTGAAAGATGTAAATGGTACATGTATCATGGTGGAATGTGTGTTTTGCTGGTCATTCCTACAGTTTTTCATCCTCAGGATTTTTGTCACATTGCCACCAACCGGGTGTTGGCTGGAGACTGAGAACGGTGGATGTCGAAAATCACCTTTGTGATCTCACTAAGATGCTTTTTCTGTCTTCTCTGGCACMGCTTTGTGACACTTGCTGTCAGCATCCCTGGCATCACATCTTGACTTTAAAGCTGCAGTCCATATCTGGTTATCTTACAACGACAGAAGAATACAGTTGTCCTAGCACATCTCAGATTCAAATCCTGGTCTTTTTCTAACATGCAGTCCTCACAACTATCTTTAAGGCCTAGGAAGAACTACAGGTGAGAAAATTTTTTCCCCATAATTTGGATCCTTCAGCATAAGGATGAGGATTTAGACTTATCCCAGACTCACAGCAGTGTCCAGCACTTGAGACTGAGTGTTGCAGGGAGTTGCTAGGATTTTGGTATAGACCAAATGATTGTGTTGGACATGACCTCAGAATCAGTTTCAAAGGTAATCAAAAGAGAGCAGAAAGAGTAGCTATGATGAGCTAAAGTTGTCATGACCAGAGAATGGGAAATGAAGTGAAAGATAGAGGCAGTGGCACTTACCTCTGTATGTATTTGATTATATCCAGGAAGCACTGCTACAATGCTCTATGTGACCTCTTGTGTAAGGCTGAAAAGCTCTTCTTTGTGAAATTAAAAAGGCTTTTTTTCTGCTGAAATCCTGCACAGACAGAAAATGATGACTGCCTTTCCCGTTGCTAAGAAAAGCTTACAAACCCTGATAACTGATCTTGCAGTTTTCACTTCAGTGCCAATGTCTTACTCATGTGTCCTGTGCTGGCAGACACAAGACAATTATTTGAGCTGGAAAGCTGGAGCAGCACGCATGAGGTGTCTGTTTTTCTGGTTAGAACCTGGCTTTGACTTGCTGCAACATTAAATTATGAGCATTAGCAATGTTTTAAATCTGCTAAACTGAAAATTTAACCAGCTGTRATCCATGAGTGAAGGACCATGCACTGCAGAGGTTTCACCCGGGTGCTGCATGGAGCAGGTGAAACAGGGAGTTTGCAAAGTGTTGTTAGACTGGTTGCAGGGTGGGGGGAGAAGCTAAAACTATTTATGGAGCACTCCATAAATGAGTCGCTTCCATGACTTAAAGACAACATAAATAGGAGTGACACTCATGCTCACAATCCTGTAAATATGTCCCCTTTCTTGTTTCTGCATGGACAGATTATTCTGACACATCTAGGTTATAATGGATGCTCAATTGCCTTTGTATTTGAGTCACACTTGATCTCTCCAGAGATTATAGGCTGTAGATGTCTGAACCAGTGGTCATCCATGGCAGCCTGATTCCTTCAGGTGCCCATAAATGGAGAGATTTATATGACCATGTTCCTGGATTACACACGACCAAGTTCCAAATCCTTTAAGTCATGACATTGTTCTGATTTGCTATCTTGCATGTAATCTTCAGTGCCTGTGGTTTGATCTGATATTGGCTCAGGATCCTGATGGTTCCCATGGCATGTATTGTATRGAAATGGCCCGTATAGCCATGCTTTTCCCTTTTAAATCCTAGATTCGAAGGATAAGGAAGTTCCTCAGGGACCACTCTCTCACTGAGACAGATCAGACTTAGTACACTACAGACATGACCTTAAAGTGGCGACAGAGATGAAAGAATAAATATGGCCATAAATAGGTTAAAACTAGAAGAGTACTGTGGAAGTATTATCTGTCTTGCAGTAGAGTTGCACTCTGAAGGTAGGTGAGGGTGATAGCAGCATTTCTTTCCTCATGTCCAGGAGTAGGAAAAGGCCTTAGGCTTACTCACAAAGGAAGTGGGACATCCAGATAGAATTTCCAAATCTTTCATGACTGGAGAAGGAGAGCCTCTGGCTTGAGCAAAGGCAATTCAGGGCATAGTGAAGCACACAGCTTTTCCAGAAGAAATGGGTCTGCTGACTCCATCTGACTAAGTCTGAGCTGCCAGAGCCGATCTTTGGTCTGTTATGGATCAGTGGCCACTTTTAGGTCATTTTACTCAGGTTTCTATCACTTTATGAATCAGAGAGTATGATGTTATCTATGTATGAACATTTCCCTCCCACAAATCTTTTCAGCAGCTCATAAGCTTGTCAGTCTGGGCAAAGGTAACTGTTGTGATGTCAGAAAGGCACAGCTTTATTAGGCTCTGTTAAAATTGGAAGGGGCTTTTTTCAGTCAATTAGTACTGAAGAAAAAAAAGCAAAACCCATGTCTTCCTCAAACACAGTACACCATGTACTTCTTATTAAGGACAATGTGTGTGCTGAGTGTCAYATTTCAAATYTCAGCTGTTTTTTTCTGTTGCCCTATTCAAAAACAAGTATGGTTAGAGTTTCATTACAACAGGAAAAGTGTGTGTRTGTATATTTTTTTCCCACTGTTCCATAGCACAAAACCTGTTGGGAATTTGTTGTTGCATTTTAGCAAGATGCACTGGTGCTGTGTTTGGTTTTTACCTTAAAGCGTAGTAAAAATCAGCTTCAAAAGTGGATAAATGTGTGAAACCAAGAGGCTAAGGAAACAATTATTTGCTGGCTTTAACTAGTGTTGGTAGTATTACTGTGATAATTTGGCTGAATTCTTCAGCTAAGGGTCTCTAAGTACATAAAATTAAAGTTGTAATTAATCTATATATTTCTGGAAGCTTAACTGAGATCAGGCTTTTATGTGATGCAGTGTGTTACTTCTGTAAGTAGTTTAGTGGCTTCACTGCAGGGATGTTTTTGTGGCTGAGTACAAGGCTTTCAGGGCTCTCTCACATTATTCCAACCACATTATGTGGGGTGAAAGGGTTCATGTACATGTCTAATTTGACAAGATAGATGAAGTGAAGGAACCAATCTTTATTGCTGAGATAGGGAAATGAGGTGAAGGAGACATATGCCAAAGTTCAATCAGATAGATGTGGGCTGAGAGCTGAGGCCGTGTCTTACAATTCYCTTAATGATAAGAGACAGTATTCCTGTTTGGTTATGGCAAGCTAACACAGGTAATGTGCTGCACTGGAGCGGTGTCTCTTAAGGTCTTTTGGAATTCCCCTCTCTGGTCCCCTGCTTATTCAGAGTAAAATGYATTTTCATTAACAATGATTCTGCAGTGCTTTTGTGCTATATGTACAGGAAGCTGAATGAGCGTCTGGGGACCTTTTAACTGGATCTATAAAAAGTCTGTGTCAATAAAATCCTGTCAGATCTATCCTTCAGTACTGTGATTACAGAAGAGGAAAAAGAAAGGTATTGCTCAATGTGACTGCAATATTCCAGTGTGTAATCTTCTCCCAGTGGTCATGTTTCCTCAGATAAGAAAAATTGCTGCTCTGGTGTCAGTGGGGATGGGGTCACTGAATGGGAACAGGAGCGTTTTCATTTTTTTTCACAATGGACAGTTGTTTTTTGTGTTTTCCTGACTGGAGGAGCTATGTCCATGGTTACTGAACAAAGTTTATTTCTGTAGGAAATAGGTAACCATGTTTGTGCAGTGGGGGTATCAGAACACAGAGGATTTGAAAGAAAGGGTCCAGAGGTCATCAGCAGAGGGGATAGGATGAGGAAATGCAGTGAGATATATCGTGTGGGTTCTGGCATATACTTCATGGGATGCTTCCTTTCAAGCACTGGTGAGCAGGAGGGGTGAATAGAAGCTCTTTGATAACATAGCAGCAGGGTGAATTCATTTCAGGACCAGCTCTTCACCTTGTATAAAACAGTGCAACTGATTTATGCCCACAGAGGATTTGGCTYGAAGCTTTAATTGCTTTCTTGGCTAAGTTCTGTTTTCCTTATGAGTGTTCAGACTATCAAAGGAGTGTTAAATGTTGTATTTCACCAAAACCTCTCACTCCTGCCTCCCTATTTGTTCATTATGTTCTCTTGAAGAATTGCCGCAGGGTAACTTTATTTCTTAGATCCAATAAAAAAATGTGCCCAGAACTGCAAATGGGCTTGTGAATGCCAACAGCATTCCTAAATTGTCCTTCCTTGTTGAGTGGCTGGTGGAATGCCGACGTGCTATAAATGCAGAGTCAATCTCACTGTTTAATTTTTGCCATTGCCACACTGTTTGTATCCTGTGTTTCCACATTCATCTTCAGGTTTCCATATTGCTTCAGGTATACGTTGTGCTTTGACCTCATGTAACATTATTGCACCAATTAAACTGTGACTGCAACTCACGGGTGCAAAGCTGGGTGCTGGGGAGAGTGCTCTGAGCTCTGGTGCTCAGAGCAGACCTAAACTCCTGCTCAAACAGTGCGATGGGATCCCAGGCAATTCTAGTTGGTTTCTGCTGAGTGCTGTGCACTTATCCTGCTCAAGTTTAGGATCTAAGGCCTTTCCAAATTAACATCTACTTGAACCAGATTTACTCTTCCTTACTGCATAGCTCTTGCAAGGAGAAAGTGATGTATTTTCCCCAAAGGGTTGACAGCATAAAACAACAACAGCAAACAAATAGTGAGCATCAGAACTGGTATTTTAAAATAATTYATTGAAGGTAAGAGGAATGAATTATTCATGTAGGATCATGCTAAAAAAATTAAAAAGATGGTGTTGAACTGAGGTTTCAGACCAGCATCTTAAAGGCAAGATGTGAACCACTTCTGTTTCAGTGTTACTTTCTGCTTCTTATCTGCATAAGTGTATCCATGTTTTGGTTACACTTCAATCATAGATATTCATAGTAGAAAAAGTGGCTGTGGCAATATCAGATGTGACTGTATCCCTGGCTGCTTTTTATCACATTTCTGAGCCAGGGGGTGGAATGGGATGCAAGAAAGTACCTCATCTGCCTCCATACAGAAGCCTCCTTGGTTTAGTAGGGAGATGATTACCTGAGGGTGACTGGTGGGTGTCTGCCGTGGTCTTTACAGCTATGTATGGGGAGGCTGGGCTTTGGATTCGGTGTGGGCAGGACTGGTGAGTGTGTGTGCATGAGCAAGATGATATGGTGTGGGATGGAGCTGRGCTAACACAACCAGCCATGGGATTGGACAGATGAAGGCATCTACCARTTAGAGACTGGAACGTGATGTGTGGACATTGGAGAGTTTTTCTGGTTATGTAACACTGATTGGTTTATTCTCAAAACCCGGTAAAGATAAGAAACCCTATAAAAGACGCACTGGGAGCAGGGACAGCTCAGAGAGAGCTGAAAATCACTACAGAAGAAAGAGCTGCTAAATCACTATAGCTAAAAGAGCTTGGAATACGAAGATTAATAAAGAAGAAACCTGGACCTGCCTGYSTCRCGTGTGTTTTTCCCGCGGTGGGCGTTTG